ACTGATTCAGTTCTACAGTTTTTTTTTCCCCGAAGCTGTTTGTCCTTTCTCATTAGCATTAAGAAACTTTAGTGTTAATAATGCATCATGTAACCTATGTTTGGGGGGTTTTGTTCCCCCAGCTTGTTTGTGGAGCATTTCTTTTAGTGTTCTATTAGATCTTTCTACCACTGCTTGTCCTGTAGGGTTGTGTGGTATACCAGTTACATGCTTTATGTTATAATATTTGAAAAACTATTCCAATTTAGTGGAAACATATGCTGGAGCATTGTCAGTTTTTATTTGTGCAGGTATACCCATAACTATCATCACCTCTAACAGATGTGTTATAACAGAATCAGCATTTTCAGAGCTAAGAGCAGTAGCCCATTGAAACCCTGAAAATGTATCTATAGTATGATGCACATATTTCAAATTTCAAAATTCTGCAAAGTGAAAGACATACATCTGTCAAACCTCATTTCTCCAAATGCCCTTAGGATTACAGCATGCTGGCAATGGAGCTTGATTATAAAAGGAACAGGTAGGACTGTTTCTCACTATCTCCTTGGCTTATTGCCAAGTGATGGAGAAGTCCTTTTTCAAACCTTTGCTATTTACATGATGTTTCTTATGAAATTCTGAGGCTTCTAGCATGCTTCCTATTAATAAGCAATCAATTTTATCATTGCCTTGTGCTAGTGGACCTGGCAGACCTGTATGGGATCTGATATGTGTAATATATATAGGATTAATTCTGTTTCTGATTGTTTCCTGTAATTGTATAAACAGTGAAGTCAATTCTGTATTATCAGGAACAAATTCTGCAATCTCAATGTGTAAGATGACTCTCTCTGCATATTGAAAATCAGTAACTTTATTAAGAGGCTCTGTAAAATCCATAAGTACCATAATAATTGTGTATAATTCTGCCTTCTGTACAGAGGTATATGGACTTTGAACTACTTTACTTACCTCTCCTGATTTATAACCTGCCTTACCTGATTTGTTGGCATCAGTGTAGAAGGTAAGAACTCCAGAATAATGCCATCCATGTAATGGTAAAGAAGGGATTGTGGAAATTTCTTCTGAATTATTTCCAAAGGTTGGTGTACAAAGTGTTGGCACAAAGTAGGACTATTTAGCATTCCTTGTGGCAAAACCTTCCATTGGAATCTCTTAACTGGCTGTGAATTATTAAGAGTTGGTATGGTAAATGCAAATTTTTCTCTCTCATTTTCCTGTAATGGTATTGTGAAAAAAAAAATTTTTCAGATCAATAACTATGATCGGCCATCCCTTAGGAATCAAGGAAGGCAATGGCATTCCAGGCTGCAGAGAGCCTATTGGCTGAATTACTTTACTGATGGCTGTCAGGTCTATCAGCATTCTCCACTTACCTGACTTCTTTTTGATAACAAATACAGAATTCCAAGGGCTGGTAGAATGTTCAGTATCGAGCTGTTCCTGAACTAGTCTTCCTAAAGCCTCTAGCTTCTCAGAGGTCATAGGTCATTGCCCTACACAAACAGGTTCATCTGTGAGTCATTTTAATGGTAGGGCCTTAGGCTCCTCTAAGGATCTATTGTTTGTACTTAGTTTCTGTACAACCTGGATGGCTGGTTACTGTTTTCCATAGTATCTTACTAAATTTTTTCCACCATCTAAAGACTATACATAATTCATATCTGATACTGGAGGAATATTAGTTTGAGTATTCCATTGCTGTAAGAGATCACAATCCCAGAGATTTATTGCTATGTCTTCGACATATGGTTTTAGCCTTCCTTTCTGTCCATCAGGTCCAGTGCAGACCTCCCAATCAACACTCTGTCAAACTCTAGCTAAAGTTCCAATTCCTAAAAATTCACATTCACCTCTCTAAGAGGCCATATCTGAGGCCAGTTTTGGGTAAAAATAGTTATGTCCACGAAACCAGGAATAACTTTATTATTAATTCTTACTTTCAACTGAGGACTCTTATCATTAAATAGAAGTTTGCCAAAATATATGTTTTTTTGTCTTCTCCCGTCACATTTGATTCCTCATTACTAGCCAAACTACCATCTACAGTAGTATCACTTTTTTCAATAGGCAATGTACTATATATTCTTCCTGTGAAAGATTGTTCTCCACAGTGATTGTGAATGATCGGACCTTTCTCAATGTGGGGGCCTTCGATAGGCCCCTCAAAGCATTTCCCAATTATAACAGAGTTCCTTGCACGTCTCAGGTTGATCTACATTCATTGGTCCAGTGTCTCACCTTACCACATCTTCTACACAATCCAGAAGACAGTAGCCTTCTGTATGAGGCATTGTTAGAATTCCTTTGCCTATAGTTTCTCTTAATATGTCCCATTCTGCCACAGCTGAAACATCTAGGTTCCTGGTGCCTTCTTGGCCTCCTGGGGAAGGCTCTTCCTACTCAAGGTCCTGGTTCATAGTAGTGATAACCTCTGGCCTCTTGGTACCTATGTTGACCTCGGTAAGGTGCTTATTTCCAAGTTCCTGCATCATTACCTTGAGAACATTTAACCTCTTGTCTCTTTAAACCTTTTGAGATTGCCTCTCCTACCCAAGCTCCTGTATCTTGTACATTATAGTTGAGGTTAGCTGTATGAAAAACCCATTCTTCCAGCCGAGCTGATCTGATCTTTAAAGGCAAAAGTATTCTTTTGCATATTGGGTTTGCATTTTCATAAGCTATTGTGTATATGATTGGTTTTCTTGTTTCCGGATCTGTTACCTGTAATTCTACTGCCTTAGTTAACCTTTGTAAAAAGTCATGGAACTGTTCTGTCGGTCCCTGTTCTATCCTGGTGTAAGTTTCTACCCTTCCTCCTGACTCACGCACCTTGTCCCAGGCATTCAAGGCTGCTGTCCTGCATAAGGACAATATATGATCATCATATATTGTGATTAGCATAAATATTCTCATGCAGGATCTTAGCCTGGGGAGCTTCATAAACCTTCTTCATGCCTTGAAGCTCTAAGGCCTGAACTTCTTCCCTGAAGAGAACCCTCCACTGTATCTGAGATGAATTTTCAAATACAGCTGATACTAGGCAATCGCAATCTGTGGGCGTCACCCTATTAAAGGTTGCCCATGAATTCAATAATTCTTTCACATAGGGACTATGGAGACCATAGGAAACAACCAACTCCTTAATTCCCTTAAGGTCTTTCAATTGTATGGGTTCCCACTGATATGCCATCTTACCATATGGATGCTTCTTAGACGGCAGTTTTTCTGCCATAATTGCTGGGAATACCCTTGGTGTATGCATAACAACCTTAGGAAAGTTTTCCTGACATTTGAATGTAGTAGGTGCATTGGGAGTAATTTGAGTCTGTGTCATCCATAGCTCATAACCTGGCAACCATAGTCTCATGTAGAGAGTGAATTTCATGAGACATGTTAGATTTTAAAAGTTTCACAGAATCACTAAGTTTCTGTATTTTTACATCTACCTGTGCTTCTAATTCTTTAATGTTCTCATCCTTAGACAGTATCTGAATGACATGTAAACTGCCTTCCAAATATCCAGTGCTAGACTCCAGCTTGTCATCTATGGTGGTAGATTCCTCAGACATGGAGCTAACCACCTGTGCTAGGCCACCAATCCTGTCTAGATTTCTAGCTATTTTTGCATTCAAATCATCAGACATTGAACAAAATTTGGTTTCTATTTGTCTTTTCTACTTGTGTTAGTAATGTATTACAGCTATTCTCAACTTTCTTTCATAAATGTTCCATGTCTTCTATTTTAGAAATAAAATTTCCTGGCTGGCTTTTATGTCCTGCATCCAATTTGCTAAACTGTCCATTTTCCTGTGTCTCAATCCTCTAGTTAGAGATGTCAAATGAAGTATAAAGCTGATTGCTATATACTAACACAGCATATAGGTACACCACTGGCAATTCATAAGCCTCCTCTAACATTGAATTTATTTAAGTAGTGAGAATATTCCCAATTTTCTGCGTGGTCAGATATTCTGCCAATCTGGAAGTTTATCTGTACCACAGTTGCCGTACAGCTGCAGTAACTGTGTTTGACCAGCAGGTGGCACAGGTGGGCGGTTGTGGTGGTGCAGTGGCTGGACAAGGGCTGAGTCTGGTGGCAGGCAGCAGTGGGCAGTCCCTTCGAAGGATTCCAGACTGCTGCTGGCAGCTGCAGACTGTGGTGGAGCAGTGCCTGGGCAGCACAAGGGAGCTGGTTGTGAGCAGGTCACAGCATTCAGCTGCAGGAACTGGAGGTGAAGTCCATCTCAAGACTACCTGAAAAATACTTAAACACTTTCCGAAGCAAGTTAGAATGGACAGAAGGGATTGGCTGCTGTTAGCAGAAAAGTTTTGGATAACCTGTAGGGCTGTAGTAGGGTCCCAGGTACTGGTGGATGACTTGTGTCCACGCAGCCCAGACAGGTGGAAACTGAGTCTCTTTTGTGAGCATTGGCAGCGCTTGGCACGTGGGCAGAGGCCTGCAGAGAAAAAGAAACTCTTCCAGCATGGCGGCGAGGCGGGCCATGCCTACAGTGGCTGTGAAGGCTAACATGGAAGGGGAGGAGCCTCAGGTTTCCAATATGGAGGAGACCCACTGAAGGCCCACGTGGTCCGGCTTGTCTCAGTCCCAAGTCACAGAGCCATGGGCTAGAATCCACAGTTGGGCCAAACGTGTTTAGTGCCTGAGCAGGTTCTTAGGGCCCAGCCAGAATGGGCTTGGAGATGCAGGACAGAGACCACTTACAGAGAAATGAAACCTCTAAGTGACCAGTCGTGGCAGGCACTGGAGCTGCGCAGAGGAGCAGGCGGATGGCCAGGTGGGCTCCTCTCAGTGCAAGCAGTGCCAGAAACACTCTTTGGTGGTTAGGGTTAGTGCTGAGAGCTAGGATGAAAGGTTACCTGGGCACCGATGCAGGGGAATAAATCCTGCCAAAAGCCAGGACCCACTTGTGGGTTCAGAATAAAATCCCATTCTGACATCAAATATCATGAAACGCAGTAAGTGTGGTTCGCAAATGGGTCAGCTCAAGTTTGATGAGCAGATGTTTATTAGGAAAGTACTCATGCGACGGAGTCAGTCTTGTACAACCAGGCGGGTGAGGGAACAGAGAGAGCTGCATTCGTGCAACCCTCATATTTAAAGTCTTGCTATGTCACTCTGACCATGCCCAAGTGTGCATGGTCTGTGTCACCTGTGCCGACTGGTGACAGTAGGCGTGGCCAGAATTTCTCCTACAATCTCCCCTCCCTCCTCTCCTGTTCTTGTCTCCATCTCCCTTCTACCCTCTCCCTCCAATCCTCCTCTACCTCTATTCAGAAGGGATAAAGCCTCTCATGGGAGTCAAAAAAGCATGGCATATCAAGTTGAGGCAGGACCAAGCTCTTCCCCGTTTCATCAGTTCCTCCCCCTTGCATCTCTTGACCCATTTTTTTTTTTTTTTTGTTCAGTAGAGGGTTGTTCAGTTTCCATGAGTTTTTATAGCTTCCTGTTGTTTATTTAATTGTTGATAAACCAACTTTAATCTTGGTGGTCTAATAGGATGCAGGAAGTTATTTCATTTTTCTTTTATCTGTTAAGACTTGCTTTGTGTCTACTTAAGAGGTCAGTTTTGGAGAAAGTTCCATGCATGAGGTGCAGTAAAGAAGATACATTCTTTTGTATTTGGGTGAAATGTTCTGTAAATATCTGTTAGGTACATAGGGTTTATAATGTCTGTTAGCTCTAGCCTTTCTCTGTTTGGTTTTTGTCTGGATGACCTGTGTATTATGGGAGTGGTATATTGACATCTCCTACTTTCAGCATCTGAAGGTCAATATGTGATTTAAGCTACAGTAGTGTTTCTTTTACAAACTTGGCTCCCCTTGTGTTAGGGCATAGATGTTAATCGAAATGCCATCATGGTGGATTTTTTTCCTTGGATGAGTATTTAGTATCCTTCTCCTATCTCTTCTTATTAGTTTTGGTTTGATATTAAATGGCTGTACCATTAGATATTAAAATGACTATACCAGCTTGCTTCTTGGTCTGTCCATTTGCTTGGAATATTTTTTCCAATCATTTTCCCTGAGATAATGTCTCTTCTTGTTGTTAAAGTGTATTCTTGGATGCGCAGCAGGATGGATCCTGTTTAGAATTCATTCTGTTAGTCTATATCTTTTTATTGGGGTGTTGAGTCCATTGGTATTGAGAGATATCAGTGACCAATGATTGTTCCTTCTTGTTATTTTGTTGGTGTGTGTGTTTTCTTTTTTTGTTTTTGTTTTATGTTTTTGTTGGTATAAGATTATTTCCTGTGGTTTCAAGGGTGTAGGTTGGAGTTGTTTTTTAATCCTTAGGGCTGGAATTGTAAGTAGATATTATTTAAATTAGACTTTATCATGGAATATCTTATTTTCTCAGTCTATGGTGACTAAAAGTTTTGCTGGGTATAGTAGTCTGGGTGGCATCTATGGTCTCTTAAAGTCTGCAAGACATCTGTCCAGGTCTTCCTGGCTTTTAGAATCTCCATTGAGAAGTCAGGTATAATTTTGATAGGTCTGCCTCTATATGTTACTTGACCTTTTTCCTTCAACTTTTAATATTTTTCTTTGTTCTCTATGTTTAGTGTTTTGATTATTATATAGCAAGGGGACTTTCTTTTCTAGTCCAGTCTATTTGATGTTCTGGATGCTTTTTGTGCATTGATAGGTGTGTCCTTCTTTAGGTTAGGAAAATTTTCTTCTCTGATTTTGTTGGAATGATTTTCTAGGCTGTTGAGCTGCAATGTAGCATGACTAATAAAAACCCAGAGACAGATATTGTGGTTCTGGCTAAGATCAGAAAGCAAAGCAGTCAACTTCTACAGAGTTCTTACCTCTGTCAAGGCTGGGGAGATCTTATCCTCAGCGTGGCTGGAGACTGAATGCTGCTTGAGACTCTGAGCTCCTGTCTTATATACCTCTCTAGTGCTGGGATAAAGGTGTGTACCACCACGTCTAGCCTCTATGACTGTGGTTAGCTTTGCATTCTGATCTTCAGGCAAGCTTATTTGATTAAAAACAATATGTCACCACACCTCAATTCTTCCTCTATTCCTATTATTCTTAGGTTTGATCTTTTTGTTTTTTTTTCATAGTGTCACAGAGTTCTGGGATGTTTTGTGTCAGATTTTTATATTTAACATTTCTTCTATTGTATCTTAAACATCTGAAATTCTTTCTTCCATCTCTTATATTCTGTTGGTGAACATTGCCTCTGTCGGTCTTGTCTGAATTTCTAAATTTTTCATTTCCAGATTTCTCTCAATTTGGGTTTTCTTTATTTATTGATTCCATTTCCATTTTCCAGTCTTGAACAGTTTTTTCCCCCTATTTCCGTCCACTCATTGTGTTTTCCTGGATTTCTTTATGGGGTTTATTCATGTCTTCTTTATTTGGTTTTCCTGGATTTAAGAGATTATTTATTTCCTCTCTAAGGTTTTTTTCTTGTGCTTCAGCTCTGTTGGAATATTCAGGATCTGTTGGGGCTGGGTTGCTGGACTCTGGTGAAGACATACTGTCATAGCTGTTTTTTTTTTTTTTTTTTTTTCCCACTGGTGTCTAGGCCTCCAGGATTGGGATGATAATAGTACAGGTGGTGATTTCTAATTTTTATCTTTGTTGGGTGGGTGTTTTATTCCTTTCTTTTGTTTTTTTTTTTCTGTTTTTCTGGCTTTCTTAGCTGGTGTGTTAGTGGGGACTTCCTGCTGGTGTTGGAGGCTGAGATAATGGAGTGAGTTGGGGAAAGAAAGATTGGTGATGAAGATCCTTGTTCTATTGGGTCATAGAGGAAAGTGACACCTCAGCAGATTTTCTGCTTCAGAGTGGGGGATGAGACCAAGGGTGGGGCTGTGATTGGGACTGGAGGAGCAGAGATGAAGATCTGCCATCAGCCTACCTGGTTTCCTGGAAGGAGTGGTTTGTGGGTTAGCAGTGGCTGCTTGCTGGAGTTGGGGGCTGGGATAAATCAATGGATTTGATGAGGATTAGGAGAGGAAGGCTGAGCAGGTATAGAGCTAGAGATTAGACTGGGGGATTGGGTTTAGAGGAGAGAAGGGAGTGCTGAAGGTCTTCAGTTAACTTTCCTGTTTGAACTTGTTCACATTTATTTTTTATATCTACTGATTTTGGGTTTGGATTCTTTTTGTTTCCTTTTAATCACACTAATGTTCACTATTAAGTTATTTGTATAAATTATTTCTAAACCTTAAATATACTCAATTACAGCTACAGATTTCTCTATTATGATTGCCTTTGCAGTATCCTAGGGGTTATGATTCACTTTCATTTTAATTTGATTCAATGAATTTTTAAAATTTCTTCTTGATTTCTTCAATGACTCAAATGAGTCTAAATTTCATTATTTAGCCATGTATTTGCATAGTTTATCTTAGTATAGATTTCTCATTTTATTTGATCCTAATATGACAATATAGAAGAAATTACTGTGTTTTTTGCCTTTATTAAGAGTAGCTTTATGCTCCAAGCATGTGTAATAATTATTAGAAAGATGCATGAATTGTTGAGAAGTTATTCCACAGCTACTGGATAGCATATCATATAGATGCCTGCTTGTTAAACTATTTTTTATCTATTTAATTCTAACTTTCCATTTATTTAATTTAGTCCAAATGATTAATCTGTTGGCTAATGAGAATGGGGTATTGAAATTACCCATTGCTACTCTTCCAGACCTGTCTTTACATTTATGTTCAAAAGTGTTTTATGAAGTTTAGTAAGCTATTATTTAATTCATATCTATTATAGACACCTTATCTTTGGGAATCTGTTACCTTTATTAGTATCCTGTGACCTTTCTCATTTCCAAATGACTTAGGCTTGGATATATGCTTTGATAGCTATGAGGGCAGGAACTCCTCCTTTGTTTCAAATTTCCTTTACATAGAATATTATTTTTCATCATTTCACTTTAGTGTGTGTTGGCAAGTGAGGTGAAGGTGATTTTTTTTTATGGAGAGGGTAGTTGGATTTTGTTTTTTAATCCAGTCTATATTTAAGGTTACTTTTGAGAGGTATTTAACATCTTTCTTATTCTGAGAGGTCTGCTGGCTTGCTGAATTCATAAAATATGAGTACCCTTTGTTACCTATTCTGCTAGTTAGTCTTATCCATTCCTGAGCTACTGTGTTTGTGTCTTTCTCTTCTCTTTCCTCTTCTTTTAGGTTTCTTCTGTAATTGCTGGTTTGTGTTTAGGAATTGCTGAGTTTAAGATTATCATAGATCCTTATTTATTCTTTACTTTCAAAGGATAACTTTGTTAGATCTGATAGTCCTTGTGCACAGTTATTTTGTTTCAGGGCTTGAAATATGTTAGGCCATGTTCTCCCGGAATTTGGATTTTTTGCTGCGAAGTATGGCGGGAAATTACCAATAAGGAGCCAGGTAGAAATACAAAGGTATTTAACAGGGAAAAAGCCTTACTTACAGAGCAACCTAGCCAGCCAGCGGGCAGCAGTCTGTCCAGCAAGCCCAAAGTGAAACCGAAAACAGAAACCAGCCACCTGACCAACTCTCACTCTACTTCACCCTGACCACGCCTACAGGGGCGTGGTCAGGTGCAGCTTTAGCCAGCCCCTAAGCAGGCGTGGCTAAAGCTTCTACAGAGAAGTTGGCTATTACCTTGGTATGTCTTACTTGTAGTTTATTCTTTTTTGCTACTCTGTTTTTGGAATTTTAACCATAATAAAACATATAAAGTTTTGTTTTTTGTTGTTGTCATATCTTTTAGTTTTTCTAAATTCCTCATATAACTCATATCCCAGAGGTCTTTGTTTTGGTTATACTTTTTTTTTCTTTGTTGCTATATGAACATAATAATTTTGAACTCAGTCTTCATTTTCTTATGTTCCTTCTTTTGCCTATTCTAGTCCATTGGTGATGATTTATATTGAGATTTTTATTTGATTTGATGAGTTTTTCATTTCCAAAATTTCTGTCTTATATATTTTATGTAAGAATCTGTCCAATTGCTGATTTCCTGTCTAGTGGTTCTCTGTGGTGATATCTTTTTTGCACAAGTAAAGCCTGTCTGGGGTCAGAGAATGGAGCTTGCCCCTAGCTAACCATAGAGGTCTGGAGGTCTGTACAGATAGACAGGAAGTGATGTAGCTGGGCAGAAACAGGAAATTGCTCTCTTTTCTGCTGAGGAAGTCAGGTGTGCTATGGCTTGCTCCTTCTCTATGATCTCTCAGCATTTCCCTCCATATCTGACTCCAGCTTTTTATTATCTAGACCAATTAAAACTCCATTTACAGTTGTCTTTCTCATCCAGGTCTCAAATTGACTTCTTTCACCAGTCCATTTATAAAGCAAGACTTTTGAATTCTTTGGCATTTTAGGCATGTCAGCATCTTCAGATGTAGTTATTGAGGGGCTTTGGAACTTTCAGAGATGTTTATTTTCTTACTGATTCTTATTACGTCTGTGTGTGTGTGTGTGTGTGTGTCTCTGTGTGTGTGTGTGTGTGTGTGTGTGTGTATGTTTCTGAGTTGCAATTTGTGCATGATTAGGAATGGATATTTATTCCATGAGGTCTTCATAGTGACCTACTGTATGAAGGAAATTGAGGGCTCAATTTTCAGTACTACTCAAGTAAGAAAAAAATGAAGTTTTATAATAGCAAGAATATCAAAACAAACCAAAAGCAGAAATATAGCTAAAATCAAAGTCAAATGGTATACTAACAGTTACCACAGGGGAGAAATGCCAGGTATAATAAACTGTACATTATAGAATCTTCATGTCTTTGCATACCCAGAGCCTCTTTTGGTGCCATGAGTTTGGTGATCAGTGGTTTGGAAGGTTGTTACTTGCTCCAGAAGGCACTGGTTTGTGTCCCTAGGGAAAGCCCATGTCCAAGCTTATGGCCATCTCCTGAGCACATTGCAAAGAGTACTGACATCTGTACTGGAGAGGAAAAACTTCAAGAAACAGCACTATGCCTGAAGGTCAGAGCTTTTGGATCCTCAGTGTTGCTTTTTTTGTATTAGTATTTTCTAGGTTATTAAAAGTCTTTGATTAATTTCCAGAGTTCTAAAAATTCTTATTTTCATCAGTTTCATAAATGGGATAATTTTTAGTTTTAATTGCTCTGCTATTTTCATTGGCTGCAACTTTTAAACTTGGATTTTTAATATTTTATATAACTGCCTAATTTTTATGTAATTGCCTCATTTTTATTGGAAAATATTAAATTCACTCTTAAAATTAACATTTGAATTCTGCAGGTAATGTCTATATAAAAGGTTGTTTATTTTTAATAACCAAATTTTAGATTGGTAAAATTTAAATACTTTATATTTTCTGGCTGTCTGGTGTTTTCTTGATAATGCCGCGATTTTCCTTTGTTGCTCAGTCTTTTGGCATCTGTTTCTTGTCCATTTTTTTTTGGCCCTGGCTGTGATCCTCTTTAATGTGTTCTCTTTTTATTTCTTATTTTTAGTTCAGTTAGGATTTTGTTTTTGTTCACTCAGACATTATTTTTTTTCACTGAGTTTATTTACATTTTTATTGTACCTTAGTTCATTTCATTTTATGGTAGGTGTGATTAATGCCATTTTATATGTATGCATGCTTACTCAAACAGTTTTTGGGTCTTTTTCATGTAGAGGTAGAGGCTCAGCATTAGAGGACATGAGTATTGTCACTCACACTCCACTCACAACTCTAGTAATTGGACTTTGTGCAGGCCATCTTCCCACATCCTTACAAAATATTACTCAGCACTTCCACTTCTAAGTTAAACCTTTCATTGCCTTTGCCCATGGTTTTGCTCAGTTGTATTTTTAAAGGAGTTACTGTTGTATTTGTGTTGTTTTTTCCAGTTGATTATCTTTGGTTTTGCAAGTGACTTCTTACAGTTAAGTATGTTAATTTATCTTATGCTATATAGGATTAACAGTAATTGTTAATATTTAAAGAAGCAATATTTTATCTGTACTTTTGACATTAAAGATTTTTTGATAACTCAAAGACAAAAATATATTAATTAAATAATGATTTGACTTTAGGATATTAGTATACTAGAAATTTACTTTTGTATATAATATAAAGTCTAAGTGTAATTTCAACTTTGCCTATATAGTGAGGTAATTTTTTTGATCATAATAGTGATATATCTTTATTTCTAGCAACAACAGATGTCATTTCCATCATATATCCATTTTCTCTAGACTCACTGATCTGTTCATATATTTATTCATATACACTGTGCTTTATTTGGTATAACTTTTTAATAATTTTTAACATAATTAAAAAATTAAAAATAATTTTAGAATAACATAGTTCTATTTTTAAAATAGTATATAGTATAAAATCTCTCTTCTTTTTATTTAAAATATTTATTTTTTATTTTATATACTAACCCCAGTTCTCTTCCCCCCCCAAAGATAGACACACTTGCACACAGAAACATCCTATAAAAACACAAAATAAAAAAAAAAGATTTGTAAGGTAAAACAACAAAAAAAAACAAACACCAAAAAAAACCAAGAAAAAAACTAAACAAAACAATGCCCAGACAAAGAATTTTAAGACATAAATCCTCCAAAGATACCACTGAGAACATTTGTGTTGACCATCTACTACTGGGTCTGGGGCCTGAACTTAAGTGTGGTTTGTATACCTAGTGAGACTCCATTGGAGAAAATGAATTTTCCTTTGTGAGTGTTGTTAATTGGAGATAGCTTCTGGGTTGGGGATGTGTTTGGGTTAGGGCTTGTGTCTACTAGGTGTTGGGACCTCAACTAGCTTGGATGTGTGCAGGCTTTGTGCATGCTGACACACTCTCACCAAGTTTATATGTACGTCAGTCCTGTTGTATTTAGAAAGCCTTGATTTGACAGTGTCTTCCATTCCCACAGGCTCTTGCAATCTTTCTTTCCCCTCTTCTATAGGGTTCACTGAGCCCTATAGAAGAGGAACTTGATGGAGACATCCCATTTAGGACTGAGTATTCCAAAGTTTCTATTTGTAAAATTGTCTATTTGTGGGTCTCTGTATTCGTTCCCGTCTGCTGTAGGAGGAAGCTTTTGTGATGATGGCTGGCAAGAAACTGATCTATGAGTATAGCAGAATGTTATTAGGAGTCATTTCATTTCAGGTTTTAGGTCTTGCACTGTTTCCTTGAAAGATTTGTTGATAAAGTTTTTGGTTTGTTTTCTCTTCCATTTCTTCAAGGGATTTTCTCATGTCCTCTTTGAGGCCCTCTATCATTTTCATGAAGATGTTTTTAAGGCCATTCTCTTCTGCTTCATCTGCATTGTGATGTTCTGGTCTTGCTGGTGTATGGTTCCTAGTCTCTGGTGGTGTCATATTTGTTTTTCTGTTGTTGAATGTGCTTTTATATTGTCTTCTTCCCATCCTTTCTTCTGGTGGGTGTAGCTGGAGTCTCTTTCTCTCCTGGTGGGTATGGGACCAAGGCTCCCTTCTGGTAGATGAAAACAGTTCCAATACTCTGATGTCTGTCCTCTTCTTGTGGATGGAGGCAGGACTGTTACCAGGGCCTTGGCAGTCTCTGGGTGTGCTGGACCTGCTGGCTGAGTTCGGATCCTGTGAGCAGCCCTCTGGCATCAGGTGTCCACGAGCAGGTCCACTGGAAAATTTCTAAACAATTTTATTAAATTATTTATTAGACATGTAGTTATCAAAGGCAACCTTAGTGCAGTTCATAATGCATTTTTGACTGTTTTATTTTTTACTTTTTTTTACTTAAATTAGAAACAAGATTGTTTTACATGGTCAATCCCAGTTCTCTCTCCCTCCTCTCCTCCCCTGCCCCCCACGAACACCCTTCCTATCCTATACCATTTCTGCTCCCCAGGGAGGGTGGGGCCTTCCGTGGGGGGTATCTTCAGAGTCTATCATAAGTTTTGGGATCGGGCCTAGGCCCTCTCCCGTGTGTCTAGGATGAGGGAGTATTCCTCTATATGGAATGGGCTCCCAAAGTCCATTCCTATACTAGGGATAAGTACTGATCTACTTACAAGAGGGCCCCCAGATTTCCAAGGCCTCCTCCCCGATGCCCACATTCATGGGGTCTGGAAACAAAAGACCCAGGATAGCCAAAACAATCCTGTACAATAAAGGAACTTCTGGAGGCATCACCATCCCCGACTTCAAGCTCTATTATAGAGCTATAGTCTTGAAAACATCTTAGTATTGGCACAAAAATAGGCAAGTAAACCAATGGAATTGAATTGAAAACCCTGTTATTAACCCACATACCTACGAACACCTGATATTTGACGAAGAAGCTAAAAATATACAGTGGAACAAAGAAATCATCTTCAACAAATGGTTCTGGCATAACTGGATCAGCGCATGTAGAAAACTGCAGATAGATCCATATCTATCGCCATGTACAAAACTTAAGTCCAAATGGATCAAAGACTTCAACATAAATCCAGCTACCCTGAACCTCTTAGAAGAGAAAGTGGGAAGTACCCTGGAACAATTGGTACAGGAGACGGCTTCCTGAACATTACACCTGTAGCACTGACACTGAGATCGACAATTAATAAATGGGACCTTCTGAAAATGAGAAGCTTTTGTAAGGCAAAAGACACAATCAGCAAGACAAAACGGCAGCTCACAGAATTGGAAGATATTCACCAACCTCATATTTCGACAGAGGGCTGATCTCCAAAATTTACAAAGAACTCAAGAAGCTAGTTTCCAAAACACATAATGCATTTTCTTTTGCTCTCCCTTAACAATATGTAAAAGAAAGGACCTGGGAAAAGCATATTCTTAAAGAGACAGGTAATAAGAGGAAACATACCACGTCCCTTTTATGTGGCCATTATGATCCTAAATGATTAGCTTACTTTTAATATTATAATGTTGACTATTAAATATTTAATGATAGTAAATACTTAAATTTGTAAAAAGTAAAAAGGGTAATATAAGAAAATTATACGTGATTATATTTATAAACATAGTGGTTTGGATACTAAGAAAATGTTTGCAAATTAGATTCAATAATTACTAAGTAAATACACAATCAGTCAGACTTACAATAGGAAGACAGCCTACAGATAGATGAACATCAACCATTTAATCAAAATATTGAAGAAGAAAAACATTATCATGGGGTAGAAGAAATTACTATTTTTCTAGCTCATGCTAGAAAATTCATGATTAAAAACAAATAACCAAACACAGAGATAAGCTTTCATAACCAATGGAAGGCTATGGCTATTTCAAACATGTTTTATTGTTAAAAATACAAAGGCTTTTTAATGTTAAGAATTTTGATTATGTAAAATAATTTTAATTTTACGGGCTCACAAGAAAATCTTGGTTGTGGTGAATCAGAGAGGCATTGGCATGCAGTTGCTGACAGGTTACTGGGAAAGCTGGGTTCTTGAAAGCTTAGTTCTGAGGACATTTAGGACAACTGAATCTTGGACTGTGCTCCTTCTGTGTCTCTTAAAGCATCTTCTTTGAGTTTATCATGATTATTTTAAGCAGAGTCTGACAAGTTGCATGTTTAAAAATCAACCATTGTATATATTAATCAACTTTTAATCACATTATTTTTATCTAGTGTACTATGCAATATTATTGTAATATATTGTTCCTCTCATCTAAATGTATATATGCACTATGTTCATGTTTGATGTCCTTGCAAAACACATGAAGTCCAGCTAGAGAATTATCTTAATACTGTCACTGTAGCTATGTACTCTGAAAGTAAACAGGGTCAGTGTATGTGATGTCTGATTAAAAAGGACCAACACATAGCATTCATGTTTATGATGAACACCCTCACACATGTGTAACTAAATGTACACACACAGTCAAATAAAATACATTGTATGCTTCTTAATGTAATTACATGGAAACAGTGAAATTAAATTATCAACAAGTAATAGTAGCAATAACCCAAAAAATGTCAGAGAATGTAACACAAGCTGCAAAATGTAAGGTATTATTAGACAATTAAAGAGCATAAAATATTACTGGAACATTTTAATATTGTATTTCAGTGAGCGTATATGTCATGCTCCATCAAAGGAGTCCACATGTGCTATGTGTAACCCAACGACTGAGAAACACTGAACTGGTAGACCCATCATTCCAATGGCATGGGCCAAAAGGAAAAATTGTTTCAGGTAGGATTTTATTTAAGTTATCATAATTAAATTGATATATCTCAGATTTACCTACACTTAAGGGATGTTTGTATCTAATACATTTTTTCATTCAGGTATTTTTTATGGTCTCATGGAGTTGATATAGCAATGTTGATAGCATGAACATTTCATATTGTCTTTATTTAAGGATGAAGAAAGTAAAAATTTCAGCAGTTTCAAGAATTTCATTTTATGTAGAAATCAGTTTCTGATTGCATTATTCTTTTAATTTTGTACCTATTTTATTGTGGTCTGTCTATTTCATCTTTGCTCTAAATCTTGAATTTGATAATTGACTTAATTTGTAATTTATTTTAAAACTTGTACTCATTAACAATAGATTTTCTTTACAGAATAGGATATAAAACAAATGTTGGTTACTAAATAGATGTTGTAACATGAGTTCTTATACTTTCTTATATTATTTGTGCCAAATACAGTTCGTATATTCATATATATGTTCATATATTTATTAACACTTCTGTGTAGGAAAATTTCATTTTGAATTATTACTAAGAAATGCATAACTTCATTGATGATGTTATATTTAAAATCATGTTAATATTTTAGTATAATACTATGTTTTTCTGAAATATATAGTAACCACTTAATTTATTAATATTTTAAAAAATAGCATGTTAAGGTAAATATGTAACCTTTTATCAGAAAATATTCATGAACAAGTAGGCATTAAAACAGAAATATATTCTTTTATATTACATTTTCAGCTTCATCCAGGATATAGAAATGGGAGATCTCAAGGCATAATTCTCTATGTAAGGTTCTTGAGGGTGGGTATATCTGTCTATTCATTTCTCCTTCAAAATATGCAGCAGGGCTTTTCATATAATAAAAAATGTCAGTGCTAAGAGCATTCTGGCATTTTACTTTAGAAGTATTTCTAAAAGTATATAAGTATTAAATCATTTACTTAACATGGAAAAAGATACGCAGTAATTTCCTGAGATAATGCTTTCAATTCTAATGAATGGAGTATTCATTGCTTAATTAAGAAAATGTTAGTATCTGAAAGTTTTATGACACAAAAACTATAGTGATGAGCTTTCAGAATAACAACCTGTCTATTTAACCTGTCTATTTAACGATTTATTATATTTGCTGAATTGAATAACCATATGATTTGGGCTGCTATGTCTTGTCATTCTTCATTGAACAAATGAAATGTGCTTCAGAAGATGAAGTGGTTACCCATGGTTGTACAGTTTGTGAGAGAGAATGGAGCCTTCACATCTGTGTCTTAATATCTCAAGAATAGGGTTACTGTCCATTTGACAGCATAGTTTTCTTCCAGTATAATACTTATGCTGAAGCAAAAAGGGAACTTACATCCCATTCTTTTTCCTAACACAGCAACACTATGACTGATTGACAAGCCTGATAATTTAATTTTCCATTTATTTCTTCTGTAATCCTCAGTGTTAGAAAGCAATTCATTGTTTCATGTACCATTCTGTGCAGTGATAAGAAATCTTAGCCATTAATGTTATATTGTAATAGACTTTGTTTTGGGTACACCATTTCATGTGCAGATTGTGAGACTCTATAACTCATTCTTAAAGTACATAAATATTATTTAGGGTTTAATTAAATAAATATACTATATAAAATATATACTTTGTATATACATGTTGCTTAATATATATGCATACTTGCACTGCATATGTTTTTATAAATTTTCATAAATAGTACTGTATTTCTTATAGAGTACCAGGCTTTTTATTTTGGGCCACCCACAAGCTCCCAAGTTTGACATGGAGACTTCTTATTAGTTATGAATACTCAACCTAGCTTAGGCTCATTTAATTTAAGTTAACCTGTTTAATCTACCTTTTGCCTTGGGTCTTTTTACTTTTATTTCTGTATGTCTTATTTTCACAGCTTCTGGTGTGTTGCTGGCAGGTGGCTACCTGGCTTTTTGCCCTGGGCCTCTCCCTCTCTTTCTCTTCATTCTTTCCTCCTTCTTCTCATTTCTTTATTTTTGAGTCTAGATTTCTTCTCCTACTAATTCTCTTTGCCTGTCATCCCCACCTATCCTTTCTTCTGCCTAGCTATTGGCTGTTCAGTTCAAGGTGAATCAAGTGCAACACATCTTTACATAATTAAACAAATGCAGCATACAGAAAAGTAATAGACCTTTATACAGTTAAAGTAATATTTCTCAGTATATACAAATGTAACACATCCTTGCCTAGTTAAAATAACATGTCACAACAAGATAGCATCTCTTTCAGTGCAAGGAGAATACTAGGAGTGCTTTATGTCCATAGGTCATTCCTAGTTTCTGACCACTTAGACCAGTGGTCCTCAACCTTCCTAATGCTGTGACCCTTTGATACAGTTCCACATATTTTGGTGACCCATTCCAACCATAAATTTCTTTTCATTGCTATTTCCTAAGTGTAATTTTGCTACTGTTATGAATTGTAATGTAAATATCTGATATACAGGGTTTCTTGATATGTGATCTCTGTGAAAGGGTCATTTGAATCCCCCAAAGGGGTTGCACCCCACAGGTTGAGAACCCCTGACTTAGACAGTCCCACAGTTGATGAACCCTGGTTGGAAATTTGATTTTAAGGTCATTCTAGCACCTACTGATAATAATAATAAAATACAATGATTAATTTTGTGTAACTCCCTTTTGTGGACACAAATTTTGAGGGTTTTTAGATTTCTTTTAAGTGTTTGGCATTTTGTCTCCCTGTTGTGATTTAAGTAGTTGTGTATTATACCTTTATTAGAAAACACCACCGCACAAGTGACATCCACAGGAAGCCTCATATTTCAGAACTTTGACGAGACCATGAGTGGAGTTTATACATGTTTCCTTGAGTACAAACCAACTGTGGAAGAAATTGTTAAAAATCTTCAACTGAAATATGTTATTTATGGTAAGAAGCAAATTTATTATGTTTTAACAGATCTCAGTGTTTTAAAATGCTTAAACATTTAACAAGTTTTTTATTTTATGTATTTTTATTATTTAAAAATTTTTAAATTTAAATATTTTGATCTTACTCTTCACCTCTCCCAAGTCCTTCCAGATCCTCTCTCTCCCCTACCCTACCCACTCAACATTAAGTTCTTTCTCATAAAACCAAAATAACCAATATAACAGCAGAACCTCCACCCCCAAACAAGAAAACAAAATAAAGCACCACACCCAAAACCAAACCAAACCAAACAAAACCAAACCAAACCCCTTCTAACTGTAACCTAATAACACACACACACACACACACACACACACACACACACACACA